TCGCACTCATCCAAGAGCGGGGCCGCCCGGTCTGTAACCGTATGGCTTTGCGCATGCGCGGTTGGAACGCGGTGCGGCTGTGCGTATGCGCTGTGAGCTAAGCGAGGTGGTGCGCATGTGCGGAGTCGAACGGAAGGAAGGCGAACGTGCGGCGGGACCGCTTGGGTGCTGGCTCTGGCAGTTACGTTAGTGTGCTGTCTGTTCTCCGAGCTGTGCTTCTGGCCCTCGAGCACAGCGTTCGCCTGGGGCGGAGCGCGGTCCGAGGGCGGGTGCATGGAATGGCTGTGCACCGGTGGTTGGTGTGCTCCACACGGCTGGTGGGAGCAGCTGATCTGTACGGAGCAATAGCTAGCTGTAACTGCTAGGAACTGCACGGTCGTGTGTTTGTAGCCTTCGCTTTGTGTGTTGTTTCCCAACACGGTTTCCAGTGGTTTTTCAGCATACAAGCTCCGGAGCTGATTCCAAAGCTCACTTCATGAGTCCAACAACTATATAAAGCCTTAAAGCTTCAAAAGCGTGTTTGGCCGCAGCTGAGAGTGCTCTTCATAGAATCATAGAATGGCCTGGGTTGAAAAGGACCACAATGATCATCTAGTTAAGCTATGTACAGGATCGCCAACCAGCGGACCAGGCTGCCCAGAGCCACATCCAGGCTGGCTTTGAATGCCTGCAGGGATGAGGCATCCACAACCTCCTTGGGCAACCTGTTCCAGTGTGTCACCACCCTCTGTGTGTAAAACTTCCTCCTAATATCTAACTTAAACCTCCCCTGTCTCAATTCAAAACCATTCCCCCTTGTTATGTCGCTGTCCACTCTCGTAAACAATTGTTTCCCTCCTATTTATATACTCCCTTCAAGTATTGGAAGGTCGCAATGAGGTCTCCCTGGAGCCTTCTCTTCTCCAAGCTTAACAAGCCCAGTTTATGTCATTCTTCTCTTTGAAATAAAAATGATTTTGTCTACCAAACATGAGATTTTAGTATAGTGACTGTCTTTTAAATATCTGTCAACTTCTGTTATTCTTTCATGAATTGCTTCAGTATTGAGCCCTTGGAGAAGTTTCCAGCATATCAATACTGTTTTTCTACAGCAGACATGTTTAAAAAAAATACCAAATTGGTATGTGTGCATTGGGTAATCTGGTCTTACTAAGGTCAGAAGATTTCTACCTTGCGAATACTCATAAAGTTGGGTAAATATTCTGGAATTTGTTTCATAATACAGTGTGCATATGCCTCTTACGAATTTGCTTCATGGAATTGGTTGGCTAGGAGCTGCAGAATCAAAAGTGAGATTCACTGGAGTAGAATATGGTAAACAGGCAATTGCTGAGTTAACGTGTGCGAGAACAAAAGTAAAAAACCCACCACATTAAGGGACTTGTGATAGAAGAAGATAAATTGGCAATAAAAGGGCATTTTATGTTATCAGTGGATTTTGGACAAAATAGTATTAATAACAAACTGAAAAGCAAAACAATGCCATGTGTGTCATATTGATATGTGTTAGTTGTGATAGCACCCTAGTTACATGAAGGAAATGAGGTGAACATGTAAAATCTTTATGTTCTTTATAGATATTATAAATCAATATATTTAAAATATTTTTCATATATAAGGATATATTCCTGTTCTTATCAGCTGTTAGCCAGCAGTTGAGCAGGGCACTGGCACTGTTCATACCTGTTTCTATTGCACTGTATTTTGAAGGCTCACCACACTTGTCTGTATCACAGTAACAGAAATTGCATTTAATAGTATATCATCATTGAATGACTTTCCTGATCTTGCGTCCAAAGATTAGGTGCATGTCACACATTGGTCAAGTTTACAGTTTCACAGTTCTATACACATGGATGAATTACATAGCACAGAAGAGTAATGGAGTTCTGATATTTTGTTCTATCAGAAGTGTAAAATTTCATTGTATCAGATACTTATATTAACAACACGTTGGACATTTATTGTTTCAGCTTGTTTTCCTTTTTGTGTATTAATTTTGGAAAAGATAGTAACAGATCTGATTAAAACAAAAACAAGACTAAGGTATCAGTGATATGACCGAGGGAAAAAAATGAGCTGGCGGGAAAAAAAAGATCCAATTTCTTCCACTTTCTGGGTACAGATGTTCTTCGTGTTACTCCTGGGTTACTGTGTTTTTATATCACTTCTACTTGCACTATAGAATGACAGAATCATAGAATGGTTTGGGTTGGAAAGGACACTGAAGATCATCTAGTTCCAACCCCTGCTATAGGCAGGGACACCTCCCTCTAGACCAGGTTGCTCAGAGCCCTATCCAGCCTGGCCTTCAATGCTTCAAGGCAGGGGGCATCCACAGCCTCTCTAGGGAACCTGTTCCAGTGTCTTACCCTCACACTAAAGAATTTCTTCCTGATATCTAATCTATATCTACTCTCTTCCAGTTTAAAGCCATTACCCCGCATGCTGTCACTACGTGCCCGTGTAAAAAGTTCATCCCCAGTTTTTCTGTAGGCCCCTTCAGGTACTGGAAGGCTGGTGTAAGGTCTCCCTGTAGCCTTCTGTTCTTCAGGCAGAAAAGCCCCAGCTCTCTCAGCCTGTCCCCATAGGAGAGGTGCTCCAGCCCTCTGATCATCTTTGTGGCCCTCCTCTGGACCAACTTGAACAGCCCAATGTCCTTCTTGTGCTGGGGCCCCAGAGCTGGACACAGTACTCCAGGTGGGTTCTCATGAGAGCAGAGCAGAGATGCAGAATCTGCTCCATCTTTCTGCTGGTCACATTTCTCTTGATCCAACCCAGGATACAATTGGCCTTCTGGGCTGCAAGCACACATTGCTGACTCATGTTGGGTCTTTTATCAACTGACATCCCCAATTCCTTCTCCTCAGGGCTGCTCTCAAGCCATTCTTTGCCCAACCTGTATGTGCTTGGGATTGCCCTGACCAAGGTGCAGTGCAGGACCTTGCATTTGTGTTCTGTACTGTGTCTCCTGCTTTTTTGACCAATTTCAAGTTCTGAATCTGGACAAGTAGGTGCTATAATTGACTATCATCAAATCTATAAAGCTTTGCATCATATCAGCTTCAGATATAGTGATTACTATTTGGCCATATAACCTGTCAGAATTTACAAATCTACAAATAGTTAAATGCTAAAGCTTCCCAGATTCCTTTTAATTTATGTTAATATGTTACAGGATGTTAATGTTATCCTTGAAGCCAAGTTGGGAATTACTTTAAGAGTTGTTGAACCAATGAGGGCACAGATAATCTTACTATACCATCCAGACCTCATGTTACATTTGATGAGATTTTAGAGAAGTCATGTGTAATACTTTCCTGTGGGTTGAGTCTGCTTGTGTTACAGTTGTACAAGGTCAGACCTTAATTTATCAAGCAACTGTGTATTTAATTTTAGAAATATCACAGGACACATTAGCTTGCAGGTCTCTATTCCTGGCTGTTCAAAATGCAGGCCCCAGACTAACAGTGGCAAGATAATGGGTTGAAAAGGTGAGGCTATACGTTGTGCTCGCCAATTAGACTAACGGTGAAATCGTTTAAAACTGTAATATTTAATAGACTGAGACCAAACTTAGAATGCTATTTTTTAATTATTATTATTTTTATTATTTTATTGCTGTGAATAACCTCTTTGCATGCCTAAGGGCCTTCTATTTCTAGAGAGAAAAGCTAGGTTTGTCTGGTTTATTTTAAGGATAAGAAATGAGAGTAACATGAACACACGTTATTAACTTTATGTGTTTGAAAATGATAAGTGCTTATCTATGTGTTTAAAAATGATAAGTTCTTGATATGCTTCTTCCAGGGAAAGACTTGGAACTCATTATTAGCAGGTTGTTCAGATGTTTGGGGGTAAAAACAATGACTTTAAGATGGCAAAACTTTTTGGTTTTTTTGTATGCAAAACAATGGCAAGTAATCCCTTTTTTCAGGTAGAAATAGAAAACAATGTCAGAATGGTATCAGATTACTCCAAATGTTATTTAAGTAAAATATTCAACATAAAGCAACTAAAATGTAGAGTAAGCATTTGTACTTGTTTCTTGTGACCTAGTGCCGGGTTCTAGCCACTGCCAAATACCCATAGCTGGCTGGGAGAAATTTTTGCTGCTGAGCTTTTTAGCCTTTTCTCTGCTGCACTGCGTAAGAGGGACACTGCTGCTGCTGCTCTCATGCTGGCTATGCTGCTACACTCCTGTGTGATCCCAGTGGAACATCCACGCTTCTGTCGGACCTCGTCACTTTAGCACAGCGTATTACCAGCAGTGATATAGCAAATCAGGCTCTCAAGGCATGTATAGACCTCTAGCTATGTGTCCAGCACTTGTGCTGTGGTGAGCCATTTACATTCTACTTACTCTGCCATGTCAGTCAGTTGCTACCTTACTAAATTTATCATTTTACAATATACTATTAATTTTTGTGTGATAATTTGAAAATGGCACACACAACAATTTTAAAACACTGCTTACTTAACACCTTCCTGGCTAAGTCTGTGTTGAAGCAGAGCTCTGGGTTGCCTGTGGCATTATCAGTTCTAGGGATTACAACAAAGCAGGGGATAGCTGGCAAAATGGGCATGAGAGTTGTATGACCAGAAAAGAGCTACACATTTAGATGATGACTAATTTCTTCCCCTAATTGTGTGGAGATAAAGTGGAGGTAGAAAAGCAATATATATATATTTAAAATAAAAGAATTTTCTTGCTGTCCTGCATTTGAGTATCCTACAAGCTGTTCTGTGCTCTTAATCCCTCTTGGAATAAGTGAGGTTGGATGGTATGATCAACTTGCAGGATTAAACCATTTGTGAACGTTTGTGAACAATAGAAGCAAAACTCAATAAGATGCTATGAAATTAAAATAAATTGATGGAAACAATTTTATTATTTAAAACAAAAACAAAAACAACAACCTTAAGTAGTGTACTAATCCTAACCAGTATATTTTTGTGTGTATTTCAAAACAGCATATGAATATGATTTGCCATAAAAAATGATGGATGAAAGTGAAGATGTGGTCGAAAATCTGCTCACTGAGTATGCCATACAGCTTAGCATTCAAGAATCAAATGCAGCCAAACCACGAATGTCCAGCTTTAGTGACAGGTACTGTGAATTCAGAGGTTATGCCATAATTTTAGTGTTTTGTGATACTGACATTTAGTGCTTGATATTGTCCTTAAAGCAGTTCTTGGTTTGGCTGTTATGCGTTTTGCTCAGTGAAATACTGCCTGAAAGAATAAACAAAACAGAAACTTGCTAGTGAACTTCTCTGTACTCACTCAGTTTTCCCCTGTGCACTCGGGTATCTAGGCGTACAAGAAAACTGCAAACGAGAAAACCAAAAGATCCTACAAAAGTGTTCAGCAAGAGTTCAGATGTGACATTAAATTAGACTGATTGAGTCCTTTGATTGATGATTGATGATGAAAATCATCTCCCTGGCATCACGTGGGGCTCTGTGCTGGAGACAAAGCTGAGATCCAGAGCAGGCTTCTGCCCTGCTTTGCCATCTGGAGCAACCCATCTTCTGGAGTTGCAGAGATGTTAAGGGAGACGGGACTCACTTGGTAAAGTAATACTTCCCGTAGCTTTTTAGGCCATTCTTGTGAAAAGGTACACATGAAACAAAAATGAACTTTCTCTAAGTGGAGAGGTTCTTTGGCAATAATCCTATAAACACATATTGTAGGTTGATCTATCTTGGGACTGAAAGGGATATCATAGAATCATAGAATGGCCTGGGTTGAAAAGGACCACAGTGATCATGTAGTTTCAACCCCCTGCTGTGTGCAGGGTTGCCAGCATCCAAAACCTCCTTGGGCAACCTGTTCCAGGGCATCACTACCCGAGATGTAGAACTGTAAGTCTGGGAGCACTGTCAGCCTTAATTTCCTGTGGGATCTCATGAGAATTTGACTCTTGGTCATCAGTGTTTGCGTGAATCTTCCTTTTCACTTGGCTGCTCCTTTTTTTTTTTTTTTCTTCTTTGTAATCTAATCTAGTTTTTAAGTTTAACCTATTCTTGTTTTTTTTAAGATACTCAGTGTACTAGCAGAAAGCAGCATTTAACTTCTGTTTATGGAGGTTTGAATAACACTGTTAAAAAAACTGACAGTTGTTTTTCAGGGAAAACTACATAATTGACATAATCAAACTCATTAATTAACAAATATTGAAATTCTGATGCCATCATGTATTCATTTGCTGCATAAAGTTTCTGAGTCTGAGGGGCTCGTTTCTGTACTGTGTGGCAAATACGCCTTTTAAATCCATAGAATTCTTTACCAAATTCAGAGCTTTGTCAGAGCAGTTCACAGCTCCTCCTGGAAACAGCCACACCAGGGGAGGATAGGGGAAGGGACACAAGGCTGCTCAGGAAGCCAGGCAGGGCCTGCACCTCCCTTGAGAACTTTGGCTACTCTGAAGGTCCTTGTTACAGGTGTAACTTAAGAGATCACAAGGCTAATGGGGACTATAGATGATATATAAAGGAAAGTTGGCTCAGATGAGAAGCTCATGGAAAATATTGAATAAATAATGTAATGTATTTACTGTGTGTTTGTATTTTCTATTTTCTGTTCTCTTTTGGGTAGTTTTGTGCCACCTAGTGAAGAAAATAGGAAAATTGTAACAGCCATAAAGGAAGGTAAAACCCCTTCTGTCCCTTTGTGAAACTGTGCTCTCCTCATAAAATTTTTCAACTGCATCTCACTTATCTGTTGGATTTCTTAAGGTCAGATATTTGGGCTCCAAGATCTTGTGAAATGGAAATATGCTTTGGATGAAGCTGATGAAAGAGGATGGTTTCCTCTGCACGAGGCTGCAGCTCAGCCAATTCAGCAAATATTGGAAATTATTTTAGATGGTGAGTAAATGAGGATGTCTCATGGGACAGAGGAAGTAGCAAAGAAACAGAGAACAAAAAGCCAGACATGGACAACAACAGGCTAGAACTGATTACTAAAGAAGCATGAAGAGATCCTCTATGAAGCATCTTACAGATGTCATTTACATCTCAGGCAAATTTTATTTTTGGGATGTTACATCAATTTACACTAGGAAAGAGCTTGAAGTCTTATTTAATGCTTTGTTCAGAATCCTACGGAAATAACATAGCTAAAATGAATATTCAGTATTCAGTCTGGAGGTACAAGTTAGATTAAGATAAACATAATTACAAGCAATTTTCATAAAGATTAAAGACTTAAAGCATCTAAGGACTGCTGGTTTACATGTGTGCATTAACAGCATTGCGCTTTAAATTAGTTTTATGTTTCCTCACTTTCTTACTTCTAGCATCGTATAAAACAATGTGGGAATACAAAACATCTGATGGAGAAACACCGCTAACTTTGGCAGCCAAAGCTGGCTTTGTGGAAAACGTCCGAGCGTTGCTGGAAAAAGGTGTTTGGCCCAACACCACGAATGACAAAGGCGAGACTCCACTCCTGATTGGTAACTGCCCCCTTTCCCTGGGCTGCAGCCCATCCACTTCACCAGACTGACACATCTGCTTCGTCAGACTTGAGAGCCAACCCTGACAAGGGGAAGTTAGCTCCATTTCTGTGAATCCTTGTCAGTGTGTGTAATTCTTACTCACTCCAATACTCTGTTGGGCTGTTTTGCTGGCTGTTGGTAGATGAAGTGAAATGTACCCAGTGTTCACTTCAGCGATAATTTTACTGAAGTCATTCCTGAGTTGCATGTAAAGATAATCCTGAGAATGCGACCTCTGTTTTGTTTGAGGCATCTTCTCTGTGTCTTCAAATGCTGTAAGGCCATTAGCAAGCTGTCCATCTTAAAGTTTAAGTCAGGTACAAGAATAAGGCGTTACTTTAACTTGAACGTGCTTTCTGTGGAGGTCTGGAGGTTACTGAAGATTTTTATATTTTTTGGATGGTTTCTTCAAGAGTAGAACGGCATTTTCGGTTGCAAAATCTCCCATCTCGTCTCCCTTCCTTCTTGTACTGAAAGCAAGCTTGTACTGCATTTCTAAATAACACCTCAATCTCAAGAAAGCTGATTCTTTGTAAGATTTTATGCTATTGGTAGACTTAAATGAGCATCGTTGCACGTGGGCAGCTTAGCAGATATCAGCTTCTAGTTGCTGTTGAAAGCCAAATATCTCCATTCTTCTGAAGAGAATAAATCTCTGAAGTTAATGCAATTCTCATGTATACATCAGAGTACCATTATACTGCATAATGAACTGCAATATATATTACAATAGCCAGTATTAAAATCTTAAGTTCTATGAATTTTTGATAAGTGGATAAGTTAACATTTTAAGGCTCTGAGGCTTTTCTGAAGCTTTCCTTTGGGGTTTCTTGCTTTCCATTGTTTCAGCTCTTTTCAGTAATTTTAAGTCTATAACTTCGAAGTTATTTTCAGTTTTTGTTTTAATGAAACTTGGAAAGAATAATTAGGGCAGATGTAAAAAGAATTCCCCTTATAGTGGTAATTTATTTTCCTAAATATTTCTCTATACAAACTCCTGGAAATGAGGCTTGCCAGATGTGAACTGTTTATGTGACGCTTTTTGTGTTTTTGTGCCACTTAAAGCTGAGAACGTGGACGCAGATATTGCTGTGCATCACACATTTTAGCCTTAGTGAAATAGAGAACCAGATGTTTAACACTTAATAGATGATGTTGAGAGCTGAAAATCACCTAGCTTCCCTTTTTAATTCTAAAATTCTGAATTGAAGGGCTCTTCAGTGTAAAGATAAATGCTGAAAAAAAAATCTAGCGTGATAATTTCTACTTCCCACTGTGTTCAGTAATGCTTCTCTTCTAAGCAGATGTAAGTAATTATGAAGACTTTTGCTTCATAAAAACCTTCTTACATGTTTAAAAGGACATTCACTGAAGTTAAATTTGCTAACCCTGACCTTTCTCACCTGCCTTGCCAGTCAGAGAAGAGATCTGCTATTCCAAAAGATAGTTCACATGTGAGATTAGACTACTATCTGGATCACTGTTTTATATGTGGATAATTTGCAGGTGTAGTTATATATGGAAATTTCAAACTTAGCACGTCAGAAGGTCAGAATATGGGATGGCAGATGTCAGTGTTGTTTTGGCTGACAACAGCCACTGAATACATGCTAGGATTAGAGCTACCAGATGACTAAATCACAACTGAGATTTTCAGTGGACATTGTAATGTTGGCATCACTTTTACAAGTAAGGACCATTGTCTAATACTTTATTGTTCTTAGTGTTGCTTTTCCTTGCAATTGATCTGATGCCGCTTTTGTCTTCCATATTCCTAACTGATATTTCTTACAGATTAAGATGGTTTAGGCAAAGAATCTGATAAGGACTACTTCTTATACACTAAACAGCGTATGAGAGGCATTACCTGTGACTACGAGCTTGAATTTCCCATGCAGCTCAGATCATCATTGATTTACCATTGAATTGGACCCCCAGATTCCTAGGACTGGAGGTCTTTTGAATTTCCTCATGTTAGTACAGAAGAAAAAAATTCTCTAAACTTACTGGATATCTTTAAATTAGACAATGTGCTTGAAAATATAATAGTATTTTTTTTCCCTTTTTTAATATCTTCAAGCTGTAAGAAGTGGTTCTTTTGAAATGGTCTCTACTCTGATTAAACACAACTGCAGGATCCACCAGCCATGTGTAAAACGTTGGTCTGCAATGCATGAAGCTGCAAAACAGGGACGCAAAGATATTGTTTCTCTTCTTCTGAAGAACGGTGGAAATGTGAACCTTAAGGATGGGTATGGAGTAACACCATTAGGTGTTGCTGCTGAATATGGTCACTGCGATGTGCTGGAGCATCTCATTCATAAAGGTATGTAGCCACCACGTGAAAAAGAATTGGGCCTCTGCTCTGGCATGCATCGTGCCTGGTTGCTGGGGTGTTTTAGAGTGGTAATGGAAAAGGAGAGAAGTAGGAGCGATGAATGATTAGATTTGGTTTCTTGGAAAGAAAGGAAGCATATATGAGCATTCCTACTCTACCATAATCCATGTCAAAGGAATGATGGAGTTGATACCAATCAGTTTCAATCAAGGAGGGACCTACAGCTACTGTCCTACTTTGCCTTCTTCTACTTGCTCCTGTCCCATTTTCTTCATCTGTTTCATTCCTTTCTACAGTGTACATAATTATATTGGTACTAATTGATGCAATTAAATATTTATTTAAATAGGCCAGGCTTTTGAAAACCCTCAGTTATAACCCTTAAGGCCTAAGCAGACCCCACCCATACATCATACATCTGGACTTATATCTATACAAGATTTCTTTTTGCCTTTAAAGGCTAATTTTGTCACAAGAAATGTTTGTTGTTTACATAACGTTTTAATATAAATACGTTTTAAAATATGAGGGAGAGTATTCTGGGCTTGTTTTTATGTTGATCTGCAAATCAATTTGGTTGCAATTCTAAACTCTCTATCCTTCTTCAAGGTGGTGATGTCCAGGCCTTAGCAGATGATGGTTCATCAATACTATTTGAAGCGGCAGGAGGAGGAAATCCAGACTGCATATCGCTTCTTCTGGAATATGGAGGAAGTGGCAACGTGCCCAATAAGGCAGGACTGCTTCCCATACATAAGGCAGCTTATGAGGGGCATTACCTGTGAGTATGAGTTTGTACTTCACATTCTCTTTAAGATATAGTGTGCCTGAGGGTCACGCTGAAGAACACTGTTAAACATGAAAATGTGCAGACCACCTGTATTTCAGAAATGGCTGCGTCGCATCAACTTGAATCAACTTCTAGGAGTTACTTTAGCAGAAACAAAAGAAAATGTAAAATATACTGCTTTAGAGCTAAGTGAAAAGCACTGAAATATCTTAAAGACAAGGTTCCATTTGATACTTCCTGAACAGGTGCTTCTGTGTTAGGATTTTCCTGTGTGAAGTGTCTATTTGGTAAATTAACATATAGGTGTGATGGTCATTTTCTTCATGCAGAGGAGTGATGCCTTATTGTCTTCACTGTTTTTTAGGGTCCTGAAGTATCTCATTCCAGTCACATCCCAAACTGCAATCCAGAAAAGTGGGATAAGCCCTGTTCACTCAGCTGCAGATGGCCAAAATTCACAGTGCCTAGAGCTCCTTATTGAAAGTGATTTTGATGTCAATACTGTCTTGGATGATCACATCTCAAATAGTTATGATGATGAAAGGAAAACTGCACTCTATTTTGCTGTTTCTAACAATGACATTCTTTGCACTGAAATATTACTGAAAGCTGGTGCAAATCCGAACAAGGATCCTTTAAACTGTCTTCTTGTGGCAGTAAGAGGTGGTAACCACGAAATAGTAAGGCTGCTTCTATCTTATGGAGCAAATGTCAATTGTTACTTTATGATGGTTAATGATACGCATTTTCCCAGTGCCATCCAGTATGCCTTGAATGATGAGGTGATGCTAAGGCTGTTACTGAATCATGGATACAATGTGGAGTTGTGTTTTGACTGTATGCATCAAGATGTCTTCGGAAATTCTTTTGTGTGGTCAACTCCAGAGGAAGAGATTCTGCCAGGGTGGACTTCTTCTGTAATAAGGGATAATCCAGTAAATACATACCTTCCTTCTTTTTGCTTTCTTCTTTCCTTTAGCCAGCTTTAAAAATTCCATATTATTGTGCAGAATTAAGCATATACTTGCAAAATCCTCTTAAAACAACCTAAAAAACTCAAACAGCTATTTTTCATTTTTGATTCTGAGATAGGGAAAATTATTTATGTAGAATGATTTAGTTTGGTACCTGTACATTAGAGATTTAGTAAGGAAGATTTAAGAAACTGCAAATCAGGCTATTGTTATTTCAGTTCCTGTCCAAACAAAGGCTAGATCACAAAGACTAAGCATGGAAGCAAATGTAAAGTAATTTACATAAGCATCCATTCATAGCTATTAAAGCTCATTCCTAATACTTTGTTTTAATTACCTTTTGTAATTGCTTTACAATGTGTTATTTTGGCATTCCACTGCGCATATTTTGAAATTATTCTTTGATATGTTTTGTCTTTCAGTTCTGTGACTTCATCTCTGTTCCGTGGTTGAAACACTTAGCAGGAAAAGTTGTTCGTATTTTTATAGATTACATGGATTATGTTCCACTATGCACAAAAATTAAGTTTGTTCTAGAAACACAGAAGGAATGGACAGAGATACGCCAGATATTGGGTAAATATCTAACTTCCAAATAATTATGTTATGTTTTATTACAGGAGACTGTAATTGCTTTTACCAGGTCATATTAGTCTAAAATGCAGTAGCAATACAAGTGTGTACTAGCTTAAGAGCCAGGTTGTGTCTGTCATCCATTGCTCAGATTGAGACAGATCGTCTCGATGTTGCCACTGGTCACAGTTAATTGGACTGGAATATAAGTGTGAATGAACCTGCTGTGCACCTTACCAGTCTCCTGTGGAATGTCAGTGGTGTGTGGGAAGCCTCTTCAATTGTGCAAGACCATTGGGGTACTTCTCATCCTCCACATGAAGCATTACAGTGCCAATCATTGCACAGCTATGAAACATATTTTTTATGGAGGAATATTGCTGATACTTTATCTTTTTTTCCTCCCTTGATCGGCCAAGTCTATTAATCATTCCAGCATTATCATAAGAGCGTGTTTCAGATGCTATTGTGTTCAAGATGAGAGATGTTGACAATGAGTTACCATCACAGTGTACCATCAATTCCTGATTTACAAGATCTACATTTAGAGTTGCCGTTCAGTAATTAATACTTCTGTGTATGCTTTCTCTTTTGAAGCTCTACAACCTAGTTTAGATATTTTACAGCAGGTGGCACCAGAAATGGGTTTCATCCACCTTAACTTTAGAAAGTTGAGAAATAAAGGAAAAGCTCTCTATGCAGGATCTAATTTTATTTGACTGTAGTTTGCAGTTTTTTAATAGAATTTTGTTCAACATCAATTATAAAGGAGCACAACATTTAAATTTTAATCTGGCATTTAATTTTATTTTGATGTTTTATACTGGCATGCAGAGGAAGTTTTTTTATTTACTTTTAGTGTCATAGGCACATCAAAATAATTTGGTTGTCTTAACTATAACAGGTGTGTTGAAAATTGTTGAAGTGTTCAGGAAAGCTAAGTCAAATCAAAATCTTCCAGTGATGTGAAGTCTGGTAAGAAGTTTTGGTTTAGATCCAAGCATGGTCTGGTCTCAGTGCCTTATTTCTGCTCTATTGAGCAGAAATGGAAGTGCCAGGTCATTTGCACAGCTGGTTTAAACCTGCAAATTTTTTCAATATACACAGAGAGAAAGGAGAGATCATTTATCAGTTGCCATTGATTACGTTAAATAATGTCCAGCTTTGGTGACATAACACAGTGTGCACATTTCTAAAAAGGAGGAATGTAGTGTTAGGAGAAATCCAAAAGAAGTTTGATTAATATCAACAGCATGTAACATCACATATTCAGAAGTGGCAAAATTATGCCCAAAGGTAGATTTTGATATTAGTTTTTTTAGGGCAATCATTCATCAGCCATAGTTAACAACATTGTTATTTCTCTCTCACTGTTATTTTCAGACAATCCTCGCCCATTGAAACATCTGTGTCGCCTGAAGATACGTAAACTCCTGGGGTTGTGGAGACTGCAGAAGCTGTCATCCATGAAGAAGTTTCCACTTCCACCAGTTCTCCAGAACTACATCCTATATAAAGAATATGATCTGTATGGAAAAGAGATACATTCAGAATAGTTTTTAATAATAACTGTGCACTATTTTAATTTCTTTTCTATTTTCTACTGTCTGAAGATTTGCTTGCTGATTCTATGATTCTATGTTTTATATATGTTCACAACATTCTGCTATGTATTGTAATTAGTTCTTTGATGGGCACAAATTTTTCTTCAAACCTAGTATGTTTTAACACAAGATTGTACTTTTCAAATCTAGGCTGAAATCACAATAAGGGCACTATAATAATTATGTAGAAAAGAATCACTCTAAATGGGAATGTGGATGAATAAAAGACAAAAGATTTTCCTGGTAATCTTCCCTGTGAGGATGATAAATGCACACTCATCTTAGTTTGTGGCATGAGTTTATCTAGAAAAGAGAAGAAATGCCTAATTTAACTTGGTAAGGAAAATTAAACCTCTAAATGCAGTTCTCTGACATGTAATTGGCAGGAAATATAGCACATTTCGTATCTGGAAAATCATTATTCTATTATAAAATTCTCCAAACACTTCAAAGAGTCTTTTTAGCTATTTTTACCAATCAGTGTTCTCAGGTACATCTACTTGTCAGTACAGTATGTCAGTGTAGAAAGTTTTAATGCCCAGCAAAGATTGAGGGATGTCAGGCTTCTTTAAAAAAAGAGTAGATCTTGACTGGCAAACCAAGCAGGAAATCAAGTAGCTTTTCCCCTTAGTTGAGAAATGGTACAATATCATAATTTAATCATGATTCCTACAGAGATTTGTCAGTTCATTTCTCAACCAGACTAAACAAGACCCTTAGTCACATACTGCGATATACTTGGCAGCATGTTTCTGTGCGTGCCCAGAATAAAACACATCTGACTAAATATCCTTTATATTATTCCATTAAAAGTGGATTGCACTTGTTCTTTTGCTACACATACACACACACACAAGATCAGCTGAAGCATCCTTCTGCCCCATTCCTTAGGCTGGCATTCCATGTTCTCCAGAGTGTGTGCTTGGTGTATATAACTTAACACCTCAATCAGTATTGAAAAATTCCACTCCCCAGAGCAGATGTATCAGTCATTTGTAGGTCGGTCCTTTCTCACAATATATTTACAGGATAAAATGGAAGAAGTGAAGATTATTGGTCAAGGACATGAAGAGTGTTATGAAAGAAGGCTTAGTTGTTGCTTCTGCTCTCCCTAGAGCTAATCCTCATCTGAGTTTCCAAGACCCATCCTCTGTTGCTTTGCCAGACATTTTTACTAGGATAAAGAGAAAGAATTCGGTTATTTGTGTGAAATCTCTTGGTACCTGGCAGACACACTGAGCCACTGCCAGCAGGATGTCCCAGGTGGTGGATGGCTCCACATGGCCTGAGGCTGAACGTGCAGTGAAACCAACATGGCTGTCCGCAGGCAGGGCTCCCCAGGCCAACTCATCTTGGGCACACCGATCTATGAGCTGGTTTCACTGTGTGGGGATTTCTAAACAGAAATATGGGCTTAATAAGACTTAAATAGTGGCAGTTTCTGTGAATCCAGTGACCACAACGTGCGGATCTGAACGGTCACGTGTTTGATACTGTACACTGCAACCAGTGAAGGAAACATGATCAAATGGGCTTTAGATGGGAGGCTTAAGACCCCTTCTGTGGTGAGAGCCAAATTCCATTAGTAATTCTAGTTCATAGACCAAGGTTTATATTTAGGGCTCTATACACGCCTCAGGCAATAGTTACATTGCCTCTGGCATCAGAGCATTCAGCTCTAGGGCAAAGTGTTGCCTGAAATGTTTAAAATATCATGGACTGCTCCATAAAATATCATTAGGTAAGTTAAAAGACCTCATTGTGCTTATCTTATTAACGATGTATCTGGGCCATTTTTGTTATTTGTCATCCTGTTGCCACAATACTGTGGCATAATCCTGTGTTAAAGTTTTTCTTTCCCTCAACATTGAAGATGCCAATTTATCAAAGACTTCCCCCTCCCCTCAGCCCTTGAAGGAGATTTAACATTATAGCAAAGCATCTGGAATGCCTCCAAGGCACCTGTGGCCTGAATGGAGAAGCAAGGGGCAAAACTGTGTTTTAAATGGAATATGAGAAGAGATATATGGATACAGAAAGGAAACTATTTAGTTTGTGCCATGCTTTTGGCAAGTTAGGAATTGAACACAAGCCTTTTGATTCCCATGTTTTAGATCGAGAGCACTGAACATTTGTGGGGTTGAATATGTACTAGTGAGAGCAGGAAATGTGTGAAGAGAAGTGAGGGCAGCAGCCCCAGCTGAGAGAAGAGATTGCTAAGAAAAAAACAACTCCTTTTCCTCTCTATTTGGATACTGACTGAACCTTTGTAAAGCTGGATTTTCATTTTCTCTGCTATTTGGGTGTGTCTCATTGGGTGTTCCATCCCAATCCAATTCCATAGCATGTCTACCCTATGGGCAACACTGGCTAGACGTAAATAAATGTCCTAGTTTTGATTCAGGCATGCTCTGGGCTAGGGACTCTGATCAGTTGGGGCAATGCTTGAAAGCAGTGATATCATTTGGGCTCTGTTTCTCTTAAAATCTGACAGAAACAGCTGCACCAGGCTGATCAGATCTCTGAGGAGCCAGGCATTCAACTGTGGTTACATCAGCCTTTCCAGCACCAGTGAGATGGACTTTGTAGCTGTGTTTTCACAGCTTGGTGTAGGACCAAACCACAACCATGAGTTATAGGACTAGCTATTGCCTTTAGAGCCCGTAATGTTGCTTATGCCTTCTGTAAAACTTACATGCACTGGCTACCATCTAATCTTGGATGCTGGCAGGGCAGATCCTTGCTCTGCATATCAAGTGGGGGACAGTTTTACTGTTTCTCTGCAGGTGTCAGTGTTCTGGCTTGGGCTCACCGTGCCTGAGCTGCCTTTGCTCAGATCATTTCTGATAGCATGCGAGCCATGCATGGAGAAACTGTCACAATGTAGTGCTCTTCTGTGTCTACCTTTGGTTAGGTAAAGGGATTTTCCTAACCCTCATTTGAGGTAGAAAAAGGCTTCTAAAATAGCCAACCACTTAGCTATGGTTTGCATGGGAAAAAAGTGGTGTAAACTCATGAGCGCGTATCTCTGTAGTAGAACAGGTCTCACCTCTTTAGGTTTTTCCAGAACTCCCTTTAATATGAACCTGGTCATCAGTCTCTTTACCTCTGTCTTCTTCTGTGTAGCCAGCTTTACCTCTCTGCTGTACTCAGCCACAACTATAGTCTGCCTGTTGAGTCAGTCCATTCAAAGCCTTCTTCCCACCTTCTTATTTTGTTATTCATATGAGCCTTAGCTCTGATAGATTGTTGCTCAAGAAGTTGATATTAGGAAAAGTAATACCAGCCAAAGTAAATTTCAGCCTTAATGGCTCTTCTGTCTTATTCTCTGCCTTCATTTCCACTGGAAATCATTTGTTTAGGATGCAGGAATTAAAACTGGAATGTTGTCATCCAAGTTTTCTACCCTTCGGAGTCTTTTTTTGCACCTAGAGATAACGATCTTGATTAAAAAACACACCCTCTGTCTCAGAACAGTCTTCAAAGAAATCCATTCTAATCCTTTACCAGGACAAATGCTGAACAGATCGGAAAGAAGTAAACGGGCAACTGCACCAAATTACTGTTTAAATATTTAAAGGTATATATTGCAATGGGAAACATTTTCTCTCTGAGTTATTCCCTTAAGTGTCACTCACATCAGCAAAAGAGGTACTTAGATTAGGAGGAATATTCCCCGGGTAACTTAACATTTTGTGATTTTCCAGAAAAGCTGGAAAAATGCATGGTTAGTAGCTAAAAGGCTGATATGGTATTGTGGCTCTGGTGACATGTACAGAGTATTTAATTTCATTTTCAGAGTTCACATTTTCAGTAGAAATCTCCACAATTGATCAAGTCTTAATGCAAAGCCAATGACTTCTCAGTGACACTGCATATTGTGTGCATGGTAGACAAGGTGCCCGGAACTCCTAACGTCATTAATGTGGCCTATTTAAAAATAGACATAAATGAAGAGAATAAAAAAGAGAATTTACTTCCTACTGTTGCTTGTATTTCATTCCTTATTATTTGCATCATTTGTTTATATTGCTAACACACTGTTAAAAATACTCTGACATAAAAATAAGGAAATGCTAATTATAGAAGCACATGTGTTGCTCCTTGAGTGTAAAGAAATAGAGGTGTTTGGTTTTTTCATCTGAAAGGCAAATGGTAGGTTTGGCTAAGCTACACAGGAGAACTGGGCCTTTGGCATTCCACAAAGATTAAATCCATGCACTTTCTATGATTACTTAAAATGTAATAGCTGCATACTCTCGTCTGGACATATGACTTACAGTATATTTACAAATGCTGTAAGTATTGTGAGGCTTACATTGACAGATGTTATATGTTTTGGCATGCTTTTGGGGGAAGAATAATCTGACTACAGCTGCCTAAATAGTATCCCATGGAAATTAAAAACTGCTTTATCTGTGTTCAAGTGCACCTCTGCTCCTTTCTCTGCAATGCAGCGCCCTCTACTTCCTGCCCCAAACCATTGAGTAATATTGCCCTGTAATTCTACACAGCCAGAATGTCTGTACATCAGTAGTGAGTGAAATGATTTCTATATATAGCTTGTAAATCTGTTGGCAATGTTTGTAAAGCACGCCAAGATTCTTTGGAAAGATAGGAGCAGCTATATGAAAGCAAGAGCATTAGGATCATCATGGTGTACAAAGCAATTTATCTTTTTGGGGTGGCTGAAACTGGTGCTGGGGAAGTGGTCACGCATTAGAGATGTGGAGAAGAGCTTACACTGAGCAAAACTGTGGCAAGAATAGTTTATGCTGACAGAGATAAGCAGGTTCATCACACCTTTTCCTTTTCTTTTTTTTTAATCAAAGGCTGGGGATTTTGTTAGTCTGAAAATGTTTTTATTTGCACCCGGATGAATTTTTTTCCCTGATGCTTCCCAACAGCCAGGTTCACCTCTTGAGTCCCCTTTCAAGATACATCAGCACTACCAGAACCCATTCATTTATTTTCTGTCACATGTATTTCTATGACTGTTCTGTCTTCTGGATAAGTACAAGGCAACCCAACACTCCTACCATCAAAATACATTAGATTAGGGGTTGCCCCATGGCTTGGTGGTATGTGATGTTCTCCAGACTTCTGGTTGACTTCCCAGCAGCTGATATTCCCACCTGCTGTTTTCAAAATGAATCTGAGCAGCAAGGCAGTCCACGTGCACACATTTTTGAGTGAAAGCTGATCATTGTTTGTGATGGGACTGAGTTGTTAAGCTACAATCGGGACCTGGAATCTGCCCTCATATTGGCCTTAGGGTGTGCTGCCAGGGGTCAGCAGGAAAAATCTGTCGTTGAATTAGGTTGTGGAGCCTGACTCCTGAGCAAATGTTGCTTTTGGTTCACAGTCATCTTTGAATTCATCCCGCATTTATTCTTTTCCCCAGCAGAGCTAAAGGGAAAGGTCTTTTTCTCTAGATAGACTCCCTGTTTACAACAACACCAGTAGAGATCATAGACAACAGAATAATTTGGCATAGAGAAGATCAGCTGAAAAATTGTTCTTTTAAATACCTTCAAGTGCATGCTTTATCCCATTTGCAATGCTGATAGCACTGTTAAATGTAGGTGATGACACATCCTTTTCAATAACAGTACGGTGTGCACACTTTTCAAAAGTAACGCTGGTCTCTCAATAGAAAGGACTACAGCTTGTCCCATCAGTCTGCCAGTCTGGCAGTCCTGCTTGGATGCCAGGTTGCTGACCCTTTGTCTTTTCTGGCCATTTGACTCTGCATTCCACCACCTGGGCCTGCAGAAGCAGTATACGGAAATCGATATAGATAACTCTATATACATACATATAGAGGGAGGATGGAGAAAGGAGTGTGAGGCAGGAGAAGGGGGTGGGATTAGGTGAGGGAAGGAGAGGCCAGGGAAAGGAGGCATGGAAGGGCACAGCAGTGAGGAGATTGGGAATGGAGTCTGGGGGCCTGCCGGAGGGCTGTACACCAGGGAAGGCACTGGGTAAGGAATAGGGGTGCAAAAGAGGTGGGGAAAGGCAAGAATGCACAATGGGAGGGAGCAGGAAAGCCCAGACGTGCTGTGGCTGCATTGTTTTTAACATGCTCTATGGCAATTGGAGCCGTTCCTGCAGCGTGGCCTGGCGTTTTGATACAAGCCAACGCATCTGTCTGACAGGCTGTCCTCAGAGCTGTGACTGAAATAGCCAGTGTCCTGGGGGCAGGCCACGTCCCACGCCTGAGGACAAGGTTGTGCAGCGCTCACTGTGCTTTCCTATCTTTTGCCCTGTGCTCAACAGACTAGAAGTGAAGTTTAAGCTGTGGATTTTACCTTGGTTGAGGATGCATACTGCCTGTCTGATGTAGCTCTCTTCCTTTCAACAGCTGGGCCAACAAGTTTACGGAAACTTGTGAAAAGCAGAACGTTTCCAAAGCCTTGAAATACCAAGATCACTAAAAAAGTAATGCCTCCTATTTATTTCCACAGAAACTACAACAGACACAGAGAGCATAATAACATGATTTGACAGAGCAAACTCTCAGCTACAAAACTGTTTTTCAACATAGTCACCACCAGTAGCTTATGCAAATATTCCAGCAATGAGCAGAAGCCTGTATGCTGATCTCATAAAAATCTGCACCAGCAGAGGTTGCCCACTGTTTCACAGCAGCTGTGGTGGCATCATTACTAGAAAAATGTTGTCCACACTGCCCATCTTCCATTGGCCCGAGAAATGAAAGTCAGGAGGTGCCAAATCTAGGCCATAAGGTGAGTGTGGTACGACAGCCGCGCCAAGATTGGCAATATGCTCCCCAGTCTTCAAATTGGTATGGGGCCTGTCTTGTGATGCAAGAGAAAGGTTTTCTTCTCTGGCCTAACTCTGAAAGTTTGAGCCGCAATGGTAGCAGTCAGAGTTGATGGTTTCCTATTATTCCAGGAAATCGAGAAGGATTGCCCTTTTCACATCCCAGGGACCTACCTGGCACAAGCTTTGCAATATACCAACGTTGCCACCACCATTTCCAACAGCACTGAAGCTGATGTTCATCTCTGTACACAATTCCAGGTCATAATCCACTGAATGCCTGGATGAGCTGATCAAGACACTCTTCATTTCAGGTGTGACAGCTGAGCATGGCCATCCAGAACATGGCTTGTCTTTCATGTCACAGTCACCACTACTGAAACGCACCACCCACAACCTCACTGTGCTCACATCCAATGTTTGGCCTCTATAAATGTTCAGCAAGCATCAATTTATGTCAGTGGGTGTAATTTTGTCAGCGAGGGAATGGTTTCAAACTAAAGGAAGGGAGATGTAGATTAGATGTCAGGGGGGAGTTTTTTACTGAGAGAGTGGTGAGGAACAGGCTGTCCAGAGAGGCTGTGGATACCCTCTACCCTGCATGTTTAAGGCCAGGTTGGATGTGGCCTTGGGCAATCTGGTCGAGTACTTGACGTCATGGTTGGCAACCCTGCCTGTGGTGGGGTAGCTGGAATTTCATGATCCTTGAGATCCCTTCCAATGCTAACCATTTTATGATTCTATGATTCTGTGTTCGATTCATGAAAATTGAACCCACTCTCCCCATACTATTTCCAGTGGAGCAATATGAATCATAATTAAGTTGAATAAACAATTTGGCTAAACACCACGCATCAGTTCTAGTGCCCAATCCGTACTAGCCATAAAGAGGCAATACTGGACAAGAGCATAGTTCAAATTATTTTCAATTACATTAAATACTGACTTTACCAACTAAAAATAATAATAAAAAAAGTTTTATTATTTCATCATGTTAACATTTATCATTATAGATGCCATCCTCCGTCCTTGCACCAAAACCAGCTGTGTCTTTCTTTCTCCATTTCTCTCCTACAGCACTGGCTTGCAGATATTGCTGGGCTGGGTGTTTCAAAATACCTCACTTGTTCTATGTTAATAAAGAGAAAAATCATAGAGGGAAGTTTAAGCTTTCATTCTGTGGTTCCTTATATTGGAAGATACTTCTCTCTATAAATGATGTCAGAATAATACAGTAGAAGATGTGACAATATACATACACTTATATATACACTGTTCCCAAATATTTATGTTTGTGTGTGAGAACATTATCATATACCTATATTGGAAGAATGTACATGAAGATTTATATATACACATATTTAAAGGCAGATGTGAATGTGAGGGTGTTCTCCAGATGCCACCTGTCACCTCTACTGAGCCACAGCCGTTGACCAAAATGCCCACTAGAGGCCTTCATTTGCTAGTCTGTCCAATCTGCTGAAGCCAGAGCCACGAGGGCACAGCAGCCCCAAATCTTGGTGAGATACCGCAGCACACAGCCTGCTCCACTAACATCTGGGCAATAGCTGCAAAGGAATGACTTGATACCACCATCACTGGTGGATTAGCTGGCACTCCACTGAGCGATGTGCGGTGTGTGAGGCATGGGCTGCCACCTTCTGCATCTGCCACCCCACCACTGCAGTCTCCTGCCAATGCCTCACTGTGAAGGCAGTGCCACCAGAGTGCTGGCAAGGCTGTGGGGCCCCACTGGGCCCCAGTGAGCCCGTTCCACTCGCAGCCCTGTGGCAGCCTGGGATTATGTGGATTTTCACAGCTCTTCCCTCCTGTTGTTAGAGGCGAGGCCGGCGTGAGGCCGGCAGTGTTCTCCCCACCCCCTGCAAGCCCGCTGCTCTAAATAAGGCAATGGTCACTGTGTCAGTAATCCCCTCTTCCAAGGACCTGCAAACACCAGTGGAGGGACATTCCTTCTGTTCAGATGTCTGGCTGACGTCTGATGCTTAAAACGGAGCATGCTTTCATCCCTCCATGCATTGTCGCAAGCTCCCGGTGCTTACTCTTAAAAGGGTGCCTCAGCTACGCAGGGAAACAGTTGCTGACCAAACGGGACGTGGTGTGCTCGATCCAGCCCTCGTGAATGCCTGATCCTTCCAGTTCTGTACCAGCCTGACCCAACGGGACCATGTCTACCTTTGGCTACAGAAGAGAGCTTAGCAAATATGAGGACATTGACGAGGATGAGCTCCTCGCTTCTCTCACGGAAGAGGAGCTGAAGGAGCTGGAGCGGGAACTGGAGGACATCGAGCCCGACCGCAACCTCCCAGTAGGACAACGGCAAAAGAGCCTGACAGAGAAAACACCCACCGGGACTTTCAGCAGGGAAGCGCTGATGGCCTACTGGGAGCAGGAGACCAGGAAGCTCTTGGAAAAAGAGAGGCTGGGCGCGTGTGAGAAGGTAAGGCAGCAGGCATTCCGTTCCCTGGAACTATTAGGGCTTGTTCCTCCCTGGTGTGATCTTTGTGTCTCTTGCAGCATTTGTAAGGCTATTGTCAGCAATGTGTTTATGTCTGCTAAAGCACTGCCTATGAGCCTGGAGAGTTTTTGCACCCTCTCTGGAAGTACATTAAAATCTTAGCTGACAGCAGAAGAACTTCCTGTAAAAAAGCATGGGTAGTGATTTTAAAAATGGCAGGAATACAATTTTAGGGGACAGGGTAAAAACTTTTGCTAGCAAAAAAATTATTAGACTGTGTTTAATTTAAAGCCTAATTGCTTTAAATATATGTACGTTCACGTTGACTCCTGGAATATATGAAAATGAGGATTTTGAATATAATGCATGTCAGAAGTTGAGTAAGTGGCCAAGAGGCTCCATGGTCCCTGGAAGGAAGCGGCATTGCAGCCAGCAGGGTTGTCATGCCTCGGTGCTGCTGAGCATCCTCTGCCAGCTGCAGTGGTCGGAGGGTGGCTGTAAGGTATTCAGAAGTTGGCCTTGAGCAGGGAATCCGTCAAACACCTGTGTTGCCTACAGAACAACTCACTGCTTGTCTGGGAATTCCTTCCCCAAATAAAAATTGTCATAATGAAAGCTGATTCATGAGCTACAAAGTAATGGTACAGTTAGGACTCGGTCTTAGCAGGTGATGAGCACCCTCAGTCTAAGCTAATAGTCATATTGGCATCCTCTCAGCCCTTGCAAAAACAGACTGTGAGCTGGGGCTCATTCAGAAAGCAGTTTTTGTCTTAATAAAGGCTCTGTGTAATTTCCAAGCAAAGCAAGGACTTGCGGATGTTTTCTATTCGTAAGCACTGCTCCATACCAAATCCTGACTTACCAGGACATGTTTTCCTATGTTTAAATAATAATAAAAAATAAAAAGATAAAAAATAAAAAGATAAAAAAAGCAAAACTGTACTTCTAACTTTAAACAGCCTTGATTCAGTTCAGTTCATTTCCAAGGAAATAATTGCAGTCAGTGCATTAGATAAATACTTCCTTAGAAAAAAATCACTTGGACCTAAATTAGCTTGCAATACTAATAGTCACGATTGCTTTAAATGTTTCTTTAAGTGTTCTTTCTTGCTAGTGAATGGTGCTGTAGTGACTTTGCAGGCAAGCACACAGAGCACTAGCTGTCATCAGACCGTTAGTATCAGCTTGCAGACGTGGGCTTCACTCCCTGTTCGTCAAGTCCCAGGAAGGCAATGGCAAGATTAATGTTTTTTTTCAGCTGAGCCTGGAATTCGAAACCTGGACGGTTCCAAAAACTTTCTGCATGGATCTTGTTCCGTGTCACATAAAGCTTTTCCATGTCTGTGTAGCATTAATGGTGTGTGCTGGCTAAACCTTATAGCAGTCAGAAAAGCCTTTATATTTTCAGATCTGAGAAATGGATTTCTAAATATGTTCATAAATAGGAAAATGTTCACACGCTGATGTAGAAGGCACAAATGCTCACTCTACTAAAGGCAATAAGAAACACCTTCTGAGTCTCTTGAAAGCAATCTTCTTGCCCTCAACTGTCTGAAAGTTAGACACCTTACTTAAGATAGCTATTTGTGCCCTTTCTATAGTTAGTGGTGAGACATCAGCCCCTCCAGAAGGCAAAATCCTATAGATAGCCATGTAGGGGGAATGCCTTGCCCTCCAGAGGTATTTCTCTCTCTGTATTGACTATCTCAGGCCTAACTTTTCATCGAGCTTCTACCAAGGAGTAAGATGAAGCCCTGCAAGCTGCCAGCAACAATCCCTTACTGAAATGCTGCCACAGTACCAGGGCATGCCTCCGGAGATCTGCAAAGAAAATAACCCAATTTCAAAATTATTTTTCAGATTGCTATGAGATACAGCAACCTCACAATGTATGCTATGGAAAAATAAGCACCTTTACTCCTAGAAGCGCCATTCCAAAAATTCAAATTGTTTTTTATTTTTTAATCATTAATGTGGTGTCATCAGAATATACCAGCAGTCTTTTCAGAGGCACAAGCTTCTGCTCCTATACGTAGCTGCGCTGAAGGCTGTAGGTGTATGTGACTGGGTAGATAAAAGCACACCATAAGAATGGCTTCCTGGACAACTGGTGTTTTCAGCTTTTAAAAGGCTGCATACATGTGCAGAAGCTGCAGATACAAATTTCAGTGTCATAATAAACCCAGCCGTTTCCATATGCAGTGCAGTGCCTTCCTGCTTGGAATCTGCAGGCCAATGAGGCTGGACCCTGCAAGCCCTCCAAGCACTGAGCTCTCAGGAACAGTGGATTGGAACAGTTTGATGTCTTGTTTCATTTGAGTCAAATTTATCTGAACATTAACAAGTACTGTGTGTTTTGCAAGCATCCCAACACAGAAATCTGCTCAAGAAAACAATACCATGCAATCTATCATCACTGTTGTTTTAATCTTTCTGTGTTTTTAGAACCAGATAATTAAGCAAATTTAAAGCTGCCCATGTTTTCTAGAAATAAGCTACCACATTAGTAACAATCGTGTTTTCTAGAAACATAAAAGCCAGTGACCGTGTCTCCACAAGGTGTACTCATTCTGTCTTTAGTATTTTACAAAGACTAAAACATGGATGTTGAGAAGGTGGTTTATGCAACCACTATTCTACCTCTAAAACTGCATAAGCATTTACCAATGTAAATAAAAAGGGTTACACAGTGGCTTGTCCAGTAGGCTACAAAGCACACAAGTGGTTTTTCAGGCAGGAGGTTGAGGGCTGGTTGTAGCTTGAGGGCTCGGTCAGGGCCCAAAACAACAGGGCCATGCTTCTGGAACTCTCCATGAGCAGAGGGGGGCTTTCCTGGGGCACAGGTCTTGCTGATCCTGCGTGTGAAGTACTGTTCTCTGCAGCCAAAACTGCTGAGCGCCCCTGACAGAACTTTGAGAAGTGGATCCAAAACCGGTGTTTTGGTGCCAACAAAAAAACATTGGAGTTTAGAAAAGGAAGGATTGCTTGGGCAATGAGTTATAACATGTTGCAGTGTTTGGGAGCAACGTCCTACCTCTTGGCAAACCTGAAGTGATCTGTGGTTTATTGAGATGATTACTTGTTAGCTGTGGGGATGCATCTGGGTCTTTTCTTCACAAATAGCTTTGAAGTGTGTTCTGAATCTTTAGTTCATACACAGTACTTTCTGTGTAACTCTTGCAATTCTATATTATTTTGCACATCAATATGCATGTTGACACATGCAGACACTATTTGTATTCTAAATCATGGTGTTCTTTACCTTTTTGGATCTAATAAATGAAAGGAAGACTGAGCACTGATACAGCAATGTTTATGAATCAGGGAATTTGTTGCTCACAGATCACATTCATTCTGAAATTGCAGTCTTGTGTTTCTGTTGGCAAGGATGGTTCCATATCAGGCCCTTGTAGACATCCCAAATCATAGACAGCATGAAGTTCATCCATATCACAATACCTTGTATCAAGTTTTCTCTTGGGAGTAATCTTTGACATTGGGAGAGCTAAGCCAATTTACATTAAGCATATGCATTTTAAAGAAAATTAAAGAAATAATGATAATAATGTGTTAGGTGCTGAAATAGTTTTCTGCTCACTTAACTGGCTTTGTTTGTGGGGATTTATTTTTAGCTTACAGCATTAACTTACATAGTTTCAAGATAATCATTTTTGGAAAAAAAAAAAAAAGCAGTAGCTACATTACTGCAGTCATTTTAACACCCACACCTACATTCCTGTTCAGGATTCAGAGCAAGAAGAAGACAACTCAGAAGACATTCAAGAAGAATGTTTCACAGAAAGCAACAGTGAAGTGTCTGAGGAGGCATATACTGAAGAGGATGATGAAGAGGAAGAAGAAGAGGAGGAGGAAGAAGAAGAGGAGGAGGAAGAGGAAGATGAAGATGACAGTGATGACGAGGATGAGGAAAAGCAAAATTCTGCGGCTAGTGAAAGACCTGTGAATTGTGAGGACGGCAGGAGTTCTGACCACGTCAGACACAAGAAGTGTAGCAGTACGAAGAACAGTGAAAACTTGTTCAATGGCCATGATGACACTGAAAATCTGAGCTTTAAAAGCAGTGCCATCCACCCATGTGGAAATCCAACAGTTATTGAGGATGCTCTGGAAAAAGTTCGGAGCAATGACCCTGAGACCACAGAGGTTAATCTAAATAACATTGAAAATATTACTTCACAGATGCTTATACATTTCTCCCAAGCCCTGAGAGACAACACTGTAGTTAAGTCATTCAGCTTGGCTAACACACATGCTGATGACAACGTCGCAATAGCCATTGCTGGTATGTTAAAAGTAAATCAACATATCACTAGTCTGAATATCGAGTCGAATTTTATCACAGGCAAAGGAGTACTGGCCATCATGAGAGCTCTGCAGCATAACAAGGTTCTAACAGAGTTACGGTTCCACAACCAAAGGCATATCATGGGCAGTCAGGTGGAAATGGACATAGTTAAGCTGTTAAAAGAGAACACTACTCTGGTCAAGCTGGGGTACCACTTTGACCTTGCTGGCCCAAGAATGAGCATGACGAGTATCCTGACAAGAAATATGGATAAACAAAGGCAAAAGCGCATGCAGGAGCAACGGCAACAGGAGTATGGTTGTGATGGAGCTATCAACCCAAAGACCAAAGTCTTGCAGAAAGGCACTCCTCGTTCCTCACCGTACACGTCCCCTAAGAGTTCACCTTGGTCCTCTCCAAAGCTCCCTAGGAAATCAGCACCAGCAAAAAGTCAGCCTCCGGCTCCTGCACCCCCTCCACCCCCGCCTCCACCCCCACCCCCTCCTCCTCCCCCTCCCGTTATTCCAGACAAGAAAGTACCGACCAGGAACATAGCTGAGGTAATCAAACAGCAAGAAAGTTCAAGAAAAGCCTTACAGAATGGACAGAAAAAGAAAAAAGGCAAAAAAAGCAAAAAACATGAGAACAGTATATTGAAAGAAATTAAAGATTCTCTGAAATCCGTCCCAGACAGAAAATCGGAAGAAGGTTCACGGCCTTCCTCCCGACCCTCCACCCCACAAAGGTCCCTCCATGACAACCTTATGGAAGCAATTCGAGCAAGCAGCATAAAACAACTAAGACGGGTAAGTGAGAGATCTTATTTCAGTAACTGGCTGTGGATCAGGTATAGAAGGAGCTCAATTAATTTTAGAACACAGGTATTTAATAAAAACACTCCTAGAAATGTGAACATAAAATACCTAGGAGGTCATTTTCCTCTGATTAGACTTTTCTCAGCTCACTGATTTCTATGTAATAGGGACTATGACAGAAAGTGGGTCATTTTCCTAGTTTCAGGCTTGTTACAGGACATGCATTAGCAGAAAGACCTTGGAAGAGGGCCAGCAATTCAGGAAGGAATTTTGAGGTATAGAATGTACAACAAATGTAACAGGATTCCCCCACTCCCCGTTTTGTAGGTGGAGTTACCAGAAGCCCTTCGGTGAAAGCCTGGATGATGGAAGAAGCAGAGCACTGCAGTGGCCAAGGGAAGGCTGTTGGGCTGTTCACCGGCGCTAAAATAGACTGTGTAGCAAGCTGCTTCTAAAGTGCTCTCCTAGATTCAAACGATTTATCTTTTCCTTTCAAAGAAATAAACCCACTAACTACTAAACAGTGCTTTAAAGATACATTTGCCTTATAATCTGTAAATATGGAAATAATTTTCTTTTGTATTTAATGAGATTTCTATTGGGAAATTGCTGCTTATTTGAATATTCTTTTCAATAGATTGCAAATCACTGGATAAGTTCTTCGCAATGAAATGTAATAGTTTACCAATCTCTGGTTTCTTCATCCTTTTTTTTTTTTTTTTTTTTTTTTCCATGAATTTACAATAAATGCAGTTTGAAGCTTATAAGCAGAAACATAGTCCTGAGTTTTTGTGTGTGAAAACCTGCTGGAAGTTTGCGTCAAATTCATGAACATCAGGAACTTCTCTCAAAGGAACCCAAGATCTTTCTCAACAACACCCATGAAGCTGGTTTGGAGGATTGTCCCTGAGCCTGTGTTAGTGCAGTTTCATTCTGACATAGAAAAGAATATGGTTCACAATGCTACGTACAACTCAAATTAAGAGGTGGGCTGTCAGGCCACTGGTATTGTGTAGCAGGTCCTAAATGTTGATTTAACTGAAAAGTAAGGGTGAGTGATCAATAGAACTGCAGTTCGTGGTGACTTAGGGTTTAAACTTTCATGGATGCTTAAAGGTTACAGCAAAATTATTCAACTGAAATTCGTTTTGTACAAATGCAAACTGCTGTATCCAGGCAGAACTAAGCCCAGAGCAGAGATTCTGTCAGGCAGAAACTTAAAGAGGAGACTAGCAAGCAGGACTTTTGTAAGATACCAGTTGAGCAATGAGCTGAGTGTGAATTGCCAGTAGGATATGGTGGAAGCAGAGAGATTTGGAGATGCACAGCTGAAGGCATCTCATTGCAGGCGATTCTCTTCTTCATGTAGTCTTGTTCTGTCCAATTAAACACTGTTCTTGGGTGCTTCAGCTAATGTGAAGGCTGTGTTAACAAGAAGAAAACCAAGCAGTGGCCAAGATATTGAAGGTCAAGAAACCATACCTGTTTTTAAAAAACAAATGAATATTAATTAGTTTACTTACTGCAGCAATAAGTAACAGAATTAGTATCTCTTCTACATGAAACCACGCAGAAGAGATCACTTTTGGTTACCCAACATTGCAGTGATTCTCAAAAAATGCAGGTAAAATTTTATCTGGAAATATTCACCAGACAGATTTCCCCAGAAAGAAGGCAATGAAGTGTACCAGAGAAAGAATGCAGTAGTGAATTGACAGAGAAGTCACAGCAAGAAAATAATGAAGATTTGTTTTCTATATTTTACATTTCTTTGCTTTGGTAGTCATTGAGTAGAACCAACCAAAAGCAAAATACAAGCAGCTGAAACACTTGCCAACATTATTTCTCTTCTCTCAGGGTCAAAACCTACTGTCACAGGAAATATGGTACCCACAAGTGGTCTCTAGGTGCCTTTATAATGGCATGATCTCCCATAGCATAAAAAGCAATAACCTGGGGTCAGTATCCCGTGCCCAAATAGAAGCTGGAACTTGGGATCTTTTGAGGATGGAAACAATGGTAGAATGCAGCCGTGGGTTAGAGGGAACTGCAACCTTGGGCAGCTTTGTGAAGGATGAGAAGCAGCAAAATGTTTAATGAAATGGCAGAAGCAACTAAATAGTTGAAAAGGCAATGAAAGAAAGAAATCAGGGAAAGCACAATGGAGACTATTTGGAGAAAGGCAAGGAAATGGAAAAAAAGTCTTCAAGGAAAGAGAGAAGAGTGAAAAGTGAGGAAAGTAATTGCAAAGGAGGGTAATTCAGAGAAAAGGAATACTGAAAAGTGGCAGATGAGGAAAGAGAATAAAACCTAGAAAAAGTAAAAGAAGATAGAATTCAAGTTTCAGGTCAGTGACAGCTTGAGTTACTTCTTTACAGTTCATGTATTTGGGAAGGGGAAGAGAAATAAACACAGTCCAAGCTGCAGCCTGCAGTTGCTGACACCTTGTTCATCAGTCCTGTCTCCATCACTGCTCTGCTGATGGAGATTAATGTTTCAGCTAAAAAGTAAAGTCACAGAAGCGCCAATCACTTGTGGTTATTTAAGCTCCTGAGGCACACTCCTTCCTGAAGTGTCAGTTCTGTGTGCTGGCCAAATTCTAATCTGGGTAATTACCTTCTGCCTACATAAACTTCACAGCACTTTCAGTTGGAGGCATTTCAAAGCCTGTTTCCTAGCAGAGCTGTGAGACAGGGCTCCTAAATACACCTTGTTAACATTTGATGCCCCACTGGAAGGGAAGGCAGCCCCTTCCCTCCCTGGGTGGGCAGCAGTCCTGCCCCCTCTCCTCCTAGGGGCATAAATAGCTTCTAAGAAGCCATTTGTTTTCTTTTCAAATAGGTGATGGAGCACCATATGACAAGCACACAGCACTGCTCTGGGAGATATGGTGTCGCCTCCCAGTTTAGCACTAGCCTGGAGTGGAAGGCAGCCAAGTTGTGCTCCTACTGAGTTCAGCTCCCTGGGTGCAAACACCCTGTAATTGTGCATCTCTCTGGGGCCTGGGGCCTGCTGCTGAGCTCACATCACTCTTTGCACCCTTCCTTTCAGGCACAGGAAGGAAAACAACCTCCTTTGAAGGTTTGGCTGCCTTTTGTTCAGCCTATTTGGTAAGTGTGTCAGCTCCTGCACATCCCTATGTTTTTATTGGGGCTGAGTGCCTCAACAAAGAGGCTCTGGGATGTAGGAAGCTCCTCGAGTGAATTTGAAGTATTCCTTGTCCACTCTCTGTCAAAGACCAGACAGAGAAATCATACACACAAAGATCTCTCCAGGTGAATTGGTCGGTAATGGAAGAGCTACAAAGGATAACCAAGTCCTTGCTGTCACTGAGGAGATGAAGAGGCAGGCAAATACAGCAGATTAGTGTCTTTAGGAAAAGCCCACGTGTTCTTAAAACTTTGTTTCATTGTGAATGGCAGAAATGGAGTCCTCCTCCGAAAAGCAGAAATACTTAGCTTCCTAAAAAAGAAAAAAGCAAAACCTGCCTCCCCTGAGCTGAATCTGTCCTGTGAGTTCTCCAAATACAGGCTGGGGAGGGAGTGGGGGACCCTACAGACCATTGAGGCCACACTCTTGTTGAGGCTGACCTTGAGTCCTCCTGCTGCCCAGCTGCTCTTCACTGTGTGACACGAAGGCCAGCTGTCACCTGGCTGCTGACACAGCAAAGCATCAGAAAAAAATCACAGCTTAATTTTTGCCTGTAATTGCAGTCCTTTAGTCAGTGCTTTATCACCTGGAAAAGTGCCTGAGTTTATAGAAGGAAAACAAACTTGGAGAACTCCAAGAGATTCTGTTTCCATGTCTTCTGAAATTTTATGCCCACCTGCTGAAGCTCCTTTTTAAAAATTTTGGATAGTGACCCGTGTTCCTCTGCAGCTGGGGATTCAGTGGGGAGTAGATGTGCTGGTCCAGCAACACACTCTGTTCACCCCCCTGGCCCATGGAGGTTGCTCCTTCCCACTGAGCAGGGCAAGTGGCCAGCAGAGCTCCATCTGAGTGAAGCCAGCTGCATTTCTAGAGCCTGAGTCTGTCCTGCATGCAGAAGAGAAGCCAGAGGAGCTTATGTACACAGTTCTAGCAAGATTTTTTGGAAGATGGATGACCTGGGACCTGGAAGGATGCAAGGCAGAGGAGAGCAGGAGGTTATTGCCAAGGACCCTCCCTCACCTGCACACCAGCCACCTCAGCTTAGAAGAGAAGCTGTGAGTATTCACAGAATCACAGAATCACAGAATTGTAGGGGTTGGAAGGGACCTCCAGAGATCATGGAGTCCAACCCCCCTGCCAAAGCAGGTTCCCTACAGCAGGTCGTACAGGTGGGCATCCAGGCAGGTCTTGAACATCTGCAGAGAAGGAGACTCCACCACCTCCCTGGGCAGCCTGTTCCAGCCTGTTCTGTTCAAAACTTCCACTCCCCAACTCATACGGTTTCCTCAGGAGTTCATCAGATAGATGAAAGTAATGTAGAAAAATGTAAGGTGAATAATGTAGAGCAGCTCCCTAGCCAAAAGAGAAAACTTTTCCATAGGTTAATAAGAGAATGACTCCTGAGTACCTTAAAGTACCTGCAGTTGGTGGATGTAATGGGAGAAGTAGATCCAAGAACTATTCTTGGGTGTAAGCCTAAGTGAAACATCATCTGGGAGAGTGTGTACAATTCTGGTAACTAACAGTCATGACAAATTGTTTTGACTTGGAAGTGAGACAGAAAATGGCTAGGATAATTGGGAAGCTGAAGAAGCTATCCGATGAGAAGAAATGGGAACAGGTGGTGGATCAGTCTAGCCAAACAAAGGCTCAAAAGGATTTTGGCTTATGTCTATAAATACTGCAAAGGGGAAAGAGCCACAGGACGCTGTTAGCAGTAGAAAAACAATAGATGTAAACTGTGCATGGCTACATTTGTATAAGAAATCAAAAGAAAATTCTTAACAGAACATGAGAGTTGTTAAAAGAGCTTTGTCATTAAAAAAAAAGAATGGGCAAATTTCATGTTAAAATAATGCAGGAAACTTATAAAAAGAATGATTTGGTGTGGTACTTTCAGTAGCAGAAGCTTGAAGCTGATGACACAGAAGGTTCTGCCATTGTTGTTTTAATGCTATTAAATGTGATAACTCCACAAGATCTGCAAATGGTAATAGTACTGAAAGTTGAAGTTGTAAAAAGCTCCTACAATTTGCAGTAAGGTGTCTTGTTTTCAAATCTGTGCAAGTCAGCTGCAGCTTTATAAAAAGATTATGACATGGAAGCCCAAGTCTTTCACTAGATGCTGGCTTTATACCATCTGATCTTGATACCAACAGGAACCAAGTGCAAGAAGGAACAAACTGTAGTTTACATATTGCTAA